GTTTTAATTTTTTTTTTTTAAGAAATATTATTAAGTACAAAAAGGTCCAGATTTAAATATGTTTAATATCTCATTTCAAAAATGATTTTAATTTTCCATTTCTTAAAGTAAACACTAGATGAAATTTTGAGGCTTAATGTTTTTAAAGGCATAGTTTTATCTTTAACCTGCAATTTACCATCAACTTGTAAAGTTGTCTGAGGAAATATAGAAACTGTTTTATTACATGGCTTATATAGAATGTGCATATAAAGTGTTTGGGGGCATATGTTTAAAAGAGGGAGCACCACCTTCATAGTCCTCTCCGGAAGGCAGGAACAGTGGTCTTGAATCATAGTGCCCACACGTAAGTTGTGACTTGTTTTTATTTTTATGCTGTTAGGATTTTACCTGGCCAATCAGTGTTCTAAATAAGGAAGAAAGGTAATAATTGGTAAGACTGATATTATTTCAACGATCGTTCACATATGCTCTATGCTCACCGATGCTTCTCCATGCTATCTTGCTACACTGATCAAGGGTTTTCAGTAGTCCTCTGAAATTAGAAATTATGTATAGAATGTTTTAAATCTTTCGGTTTTGTTTTTACTTTTTAAGACAATCTCAGTCTTTATCTTTCCACCTGTTGGGTATTGGTCCCACTACGGGTAAACTAGTATTTTTCAAAACATTCAACTTTTTATGATTCATCTTTTATCCAATAAATAGTGCATCTCTTAGCAGAAATTGCCATCTTGAATAGATTTTGGTATTTTAAAAGTGGTGTAATGTGGATAGAAGAAAAAATGGCATTTTAAGAGACATAAGGGTGAAATACTGATGACTCTTTAATGATATTACAGGAAAAATATAGTTTTCTATCACTTCAAGGACAGAAGAGTTTGTTTTTATTTTTGTAATTTTCATTAGTAAATCATAACAACTGTTTAATCAGACCTGATTCCATTTTTGAAAATTATATTTCTTGATACGCAAATAATTTTTATTTTCCAAGCATGTGTCATTAAAGATTTCTTTTCCAGTTTTGAAGCTGTGTGTTCAACTGCTTCACATCTCTGACCACTTTCTGAATGAGAACTTACTTTGTGCCTAGGGCTTCCACCCACTGGTAATGTTTACCTACTGGGCATTTATTCCAAAGTGGGATCAACTGTACATCCCTGATATCTACCAGTAAGTATATTGCTCAGCTGATATTTGGGTGATGTGATGTCTTTTCATGGAATACACTAAAAATAAAGATCTAGTTTAGTAATGCATTATTTATTTTCATAAGGCTAAAGAGGAGCAGTCCTATGGTTTTATCCAGCGTCCTTTATCTGTGAATTCATGCTCTGATAACTGCCTTTCCTTCCTTCTGTGCCTTTAAATACAAATTTTGGTTCTGCACAATTGAAACATTAAAAATTGCCAATGCACATTGATGTTCTTTGTCTTAATTTAATAAAATTTGTGCGTTGTTACCTAGATGTATGTGTATCACCCTAGAGGAACTGAGTGCTAGTACTTGAAGAGTAGTGTGAAGAAACAGCTTCACGGGGCTGGTTAAGAGTAGAATGGCACGTTTACAGGATGCTTAGCATAGTACCTGATAATAATAAACTCAGTAACCGATTAGTAGCAATAATAATAATGGCTAATGATGATGATATTAAACAATTCACCATAATTACTGTTGTATAAATAAATACAAAACCCAAAGTGCCTGATCAAGTGGCATTTGGGGTGGAGAGGTTTGCCGGAGGACACAGTCACAGAGGATTAAGGTGAAAGAGGAGTGTTAGCGAGACAAAGATGGACATGGGAACAGGGAACAGCACCAACAGAAACATGAGAACATGGGACATGTTAGGAATTGGGAAGAGTTAGGAGTGAGAAATAAAGCTGGAGGGGAAGTGGACAGGGTCTAAGGGTTTTATGTGCCTTTACAAAGCTTATGGCTATTATCCTGAATAATATGGTCATTCATTTAGCTAATAAGTTCCTGTTAAATACAATACTTGATCGTAGGGTAGGAGAATACAGCAGTGAACAGACCAGACAAAACTCTCATCTTTATAGTGTGCATTCTAGATGGGGAGATGACGATATGGAATGAATGTATATTTGCTTAACAAATGAGTGAAGAGAGGTCAGCAAGATTGGAGATGAGGTATAGGAGGCAAAGACAGAAGTTAAGGATGATGTAGGGTTCAGGCCTGGGCACTGGGTAGATGGTAGAACTAGTTACTGAGATAGCGTAACCTGAAGAAGCAGGGTTCAGGGGCAATGACCTGTTTTTTGGGTTTTTTTAAAGATTGATTTATTTATTTATACAAGCACTGGGTACAGTTAGAAGCACGGGAGGGTGAGAGAATTCACCAGAGCCAGAGTGGGGAGCAGAACAGGCAGACCGATGAAACACTGCTGAGCGGAGCAGCGGGCGGCAGGAGAGGTCTGCGCGCCATGTGGGACCCTCACCCCGTGGCCGGGGATCGAACCGGCGCTGCGGAGGCTGCGGGCAGCTTCGCAGCCCGGCGCTCAACCACTGCGCCACCAGGGGAGGCCCAGCAATGACCTGTTTTGGACAGGTTGGGTTTGAGGTGCTTACCAGATGGGGAATGTGAAGTGGGTACAGGACACATTTCTCTTCATCCACCTACAGTGAAATTCCCTTGAGTTGACTATGATCTCATGAACAGCATGACAGAGACCCAGCAAGTGACCCAGCACCTGGCTCCAGGTCCTTTCGCCAGTAGAAGCCTTGTCCTGCCAGAAAGTATCCTGCCAGTTATCTTGGGACTATTCTTTCCAACAAGCATCCTTTGAGCAGCCTCTTGACTGCTGCCCCACTGCTCTTGTGCAGTGCTCCCTTGTCAGACTTTACCAGCTTCTAAGCCACCCAGTGCCACCATATCAGCGCCGCTTCAGAGAATGCCAAGATAGCCACCAGCCAACTAGAGCCAACAACTACCTTTTTAGTACGACACTAGAACTGGCTGAAAGTCCGTTTCGCTGTTGGCTTTTGAGCGGTATGGGTTGGACACTGGCCATCTGGACTGGAAGGTTAGTGGTTTGGGAAGTTGCTAGAAACACAATCCCATCCAGATGCCTGCAGCTCCACCAGGGGGCAGGTTTAGGACTTTGAGTCCTCATAGGTGCTTCCTAGAGCAGAAGCTGCTGAACCTCCAAAAGAGGCTGAGCACTCAAAACCAGCAGGGAAAGGGGCTTTCAGCCAGAGCTCTGCCAGGCTTCCCAAATCCCCTTTCCACACTGTAAACAGAAGAGTTCCTATTTTATTTTGTAGTATTAGATTTTTTTTGTCTCCTGAGGTTCAGCTGTCAAGGGGCTGCTCCCCATTCTTGACGGTGGACATACTCCAGATGTTCCAGGCTGCCTTGGAACACACCTCAGCCACATACAAACTGAGATCAAATCCCTGGCTCTCCCTGGTGGCAGAAGGGATTAAGCACCGCACTATGACACAATCCACAGCCACTGCAGCATGAATTCGATCCCCGTCCAGGGAGCTACCGACATGGCACAGCAGATCTTTCCTGACTCGCCCGCTGCTCCCCTCAGCAGTGTATTTCAGTCAGTCTGCCTGTTCTGTTCCCCACTCTGTCTCTGGTGAATCCTCTCACCCCCCGCACCTCTGGCCTGTACCCCAGTTCTTGTAAGCATAAACAAATCTTTAAAAATAAAATCCCTTCCTAGCTTGGTGAGCACAGGGTCTTCTCTGAACATACTCACTTGACAACTGCTGACTGATCACCTGCTAATGCCAGGCACTGTGGTTTGGTTTGGTTTTGTTTTTCTTTTCAAGTGATTTTTTTTTTCTGATTTATTATTACTTTTATTTTAGTGAGAACATTTAAATCCTACCTCTTAGCAAATTTCAGATATAGAGTGAATAACCACAGTCATCATGCTCCACATTAGGTCCTTGCTGGGTATTATGTGCCGAGGACCAGAGCAGCAAATGAGGCCCAAATGTCTGCGCTGGTGGAGCTTGTGTTACATGTGACATGCTGTATGTTGAAGAGCAGTAAGTGCTACGGAGGGGTATGTGGACCATCAGGGTAGAGATAAGAAGGTCACTTTTGAGTAAACACCTGCAATGAGGTCACTGGCCATGACGCTGTTTGGGGGAAGAGCATTCCAAGCAGAGGGCAAAGCATGTGTATGACAACATGTGTGAGTGGCAGCGCATGGGCCAGAGAGGCTGGAGTGGAATCTATTAGGGTCTGGGCATAGATACAGGTCAGACAAACTGATGGGACACTTGCAGCTCACAGTAAGAATGTGGATTTTTCCTGAGTGAAATTCACCCACCAGGAAGTTTTAGAAAGGCTGCTAGCCACAGTACCCTAAGAATCAGTCCTTTTTCGGCCCCTTCAAATATCTGAGTCAAGAGGAATGAGTGGTAACTCTGCATGAGGTCTGTGAATCATCTTCTAGTGGACAGAGTCTCACAGAGTCGGGGCCAGGTTCTGCGCATGAGAAACCTCAAGGAGCAAACAAGCTCTCCACGCCTGAGGCCCCAGGTACCGAGGCAAGTAACACTCCCTAACCTGGGAAAGTAAAGCACCTGCCGGCCAGGTGTGAATGCCTGAGAGCTGCCCAGGCCCGGGCTTCCCTGCCTCCTGCAGCTCTCATCCGCTTAGAGTCTCTATATTCCAGGGCTCCCAGCAGCCACAACAGCAGATGGGGCCTCCTGGGGGAACTGGGATGCTGTGATTCAGGATTTGCCAAAGCACTGAAGGCAAAGCCACCTTTGTGGCCTGCTGGGTTAGCCCATCTCGTCCTTCCTAGCTGTCCCTGGACTGGGGTAATGTCTGAGATGGCACCGTGAGGAGCGTGTGTCTGCATGTGTTGGGAGAGGGGCAGGAGGGGGATGGGTGGGCTCGTGAGGGGATTCTCTGTGCCTGCTGACCACTGACCACTACCCATGCAGTGGAGGTCCAGCAACAACCTCCCACTCAGGTTAAGCCCAACAACTCACATCTTGATTTGTACCCAAGGTGGGGGCTTTTATTTACAGAAATGACTGCATGGATCTAGAGGGCAGGACAGAAAAGGTAATGTCAGAAAGAAGAAGGGGGCATTTAAATACTCAGGTGGGAGAGAGGCAGGCAGGAAGCAGTGGGGCTGGCTTAAGGCTGACCACCTCAGGGTAGGCCCCATCAGCATTCACCCAGTGAGCCCAGCGGGTGAAATGGGATCAGGAGCTGGCGGAGAAGCCTCGTTCACTTGCCCAAGGACACAATGACCAGTGGAGGATGGTGCAGATATTTGTTTTGGTGACATCTTAGGGTGCTCTGGGAAGGAAAGCCACCCCATTCTATTAGGAGCTTGGACTCTGCCAACACTTGCCCTCTCTGCCCTTCCCCCATGTTTTGAATTTCCTTTTCCTCAGTACTCCTGGGTCCTGGACAGAAAGTCCTGGCCTGAGGGACGGGGTACTTGTCCACCCAGAGGGACTTCATCCTTTCCTCCCAGGATGCCTGCTAGCCGCTGTCCAAGCCTGATGCTCATGGTCCCTTGATGGATCCAGGCTCTGTGAGGCGTGCAGAGGCATAGGCTGAGGCCCCAAGGCAGGCTGCAGGCTCACAGAAGCCTGGTAGTCCCACAGGGCCTGGCAGGCCAGGTCGGCCTGCCTCTCCTGGGGCCCCTGGGGACCCTCGATCTCCATCTTTGCCATTGATTGCCTGGCCAGGCCGACCAGGGAGTCCTGTGAAAGGGAGAACATGTAGTCATGAGCACCTCTTCTGGTCTCAGTCCTGGAATTTCTAAGTCCCATTTTCAGGTGGGGAAAAAGAGGTGAAGGAAGAGGGAGTCTACCTTAGACACAGTTCTAAGAGGTATATTGTCCATTGCTCCCAATTCCCAATCGCAGAGTCTTGGGAGCAGATTTTGGCCCAAGCCAGGAAGTTCTCAAAAGTCCCAGCTGACATCCCGGTTTCCAGCAAGACCCCCACCCTGATGCTCCGAGGAAGGCAGATGTGTGGGCCTGAGTAGGCTGAGTGTGAAGCCTCCATGAAGGAGACCAGTTGTCTGTGTGTCATTAACTCCAGAGCAGAGGGTCAGAATGGCTGCTGGGCAGGGCCAAGGTCTTACCTGGGATCCCTGGGGGTCCAGGCATCCCCGGATGTCCACGTCCTATGTCTCCCCGATCACCCTTCTCTCCACGTTTTCCTGCAAAGAAGAAACATTTGGTTTTCAGACATTATTTCCAAAAATTTGGAAAATGTTTCTTTCCTACTTTGCTACTTAAATTTTATTTTTTATTTTATTTCTGTTTTGTGCTAGTTTATAACCGGGAAAACCTGGAAATGTTTGCACAACTGGTTAAATAAAGGAAGGTCAAGAAAAAGGGTGGAAGACTATACAACCAACCAATTAAGCTCATTGTAGGAAGCAGCTGACTAACAATAGCTCTTGTTACAGCAGTACTGGGTACCAAGCGGTCTTCAGTACAATGTTATGAGGTTGTTGCTACTAATACCCCCATTATATAGATGATAAACCAAGACCCAGGGCATTAACAGATGACTTGTCCAAGATCCATAGGAGAAAGCGGCAGAGTGCCTGCTGCTTTATGACTGATAATCTGTCTCCCCACTACAGAGACTTTTATGGGGTACCACTAAGTAAATTTAAAGCAAAAATACCCACCCCCCATCCAAGTAACAAAATATAACAGTCATTTCCATCAAGTCACGACCTAGAAAGCAAGCTCAGTAGTATCTTCCAGAAAATTTGACTGAGGGAATGGGGGCAATGTCGGCACCTTGTCCTGGGCAGGGGGATGATGAAAGATAAAACAGGGAGCTGGGCAACCAGATTGCCAACCTGAGACTCTCGGGCAGCCTTTGCTCAACCCACAGTGGCCCAGCCCCACCCAAGATAGAGCAGCACTCACCCTTGGGCCCTGTGTTGCCAATCTGACCCACAGCTCCCACGATGCCAGGGATGCCCCGAGGGCCAGGGTGCCCATGGGGTCCTTGCTTGCCTGGGTACCCAGGCGGCCCAGGGGGTCCTGGGAGGCCCATCATCCCAGTGGCACCCAGGGCTTCCCTCTTGGCACTCACAGCCACCTCCGCCAGTTGCTCTGGAGGGAGGTAAGGAGACAGGTGTATGGAATGAACGTCAGCTCACAGTAAACCTGGGGGAGGCAGAGGCATCCTGAAGGTCCCTGGCTTCAAGGAATGCAGATAGAAAAGTTCAACCTTCACTTCCCTCAGGCCATTTTGCAGAAGTCAAAGGTCAGCTTTGACTAGGATGATCTAATGCTCCCCTGGCCTCAGAGGCTGAGCTGGAATGAGCACCCAGGACCCCAGACTCCCCCGCCAAGACAATAAGGAGAGGTCTGAAAGAGCGGTGATGCCCAGAGAGACTGTGAGGTGGGGTTGCTGGCTCTCCCTCACCTTGCATCATCTTCAGCACTACATCCTCGATGTGCTGGTCACTGGCATCCCGGCCCTGAAAGCCAAAAGGCCTTTCTGGAGGAAGCCCTGGCTGCCAGGACCCCCGCCTGCTCTCTCATCCCCTCCTGCTAGTATCGTCTCACTATAAATATGTTCAGTCCCTGACTGAAATCCATCCTGCTGTGCTCACCCCCATCCTTCTGATCAGGGGAGCCAGTGGGCTTGGGAATGCCCAGTCTGGAGGGAATAAGCAGCACCCCAAAAAAGAAACCTAGGAGACCCTCCGTCCCTGGGACCAACTCACCGCCACGCCCTGTCTCCCAGGCTGTCCCGGCAGGCCTCGGTCTCCAGCCAGCCCTCGTGGGCCTGGTGGCCCAGGGTAGCCCTGCACCCCTGGGGCGCCCGCATCCCCGCTGGGGCCGGGGTAACCCGGCTCTCCGCGGACTCCTTGCTGCGGGGGCGAGTGGGTGCAGAGCCGGAGTGAGAGGAAGAGGATGCATGGAGGAGAAATGGGGCGGCGGGTCGGGCACCAGGTAAGGCGGCGGTGGGGGGGGCCGGGGCCGGGGCCGGGGCGAGGTGGGGGGGGCGGGGTCGCGGGAGCCGGGGAAGGCGGCGTCGCCGGGCTGGACTCACCTGTCCCTTGGGCCCTGGCTCGCCAGACTCCCCCTGCGGGCCCCAGAAAGCGCGGTCACACGGAGGTGCTCGGGCCGCCCGCGCCGCCCGGCCGCCCCCAGCCCCCACGCCGGCCGCTCACCTTCTCGCCTTTCTCTCCAGGGAGGCCGGCCACCCCCGGGTCGCCCTGCGGGTTGAACCACGAGTCAGACGCGAGTCAGATGCGCGCGCCGAGGCGGCGACTCCAGCCCCACGCGGGACCCGCGGGTACTCACCACTCCGCCGCGGGGCCCGGTCTTCCCTGGGGAGCCCTGGAGGAAGCCGAGCTGATGAGCTCCCGCTCCGGGGGCGCCGCGGTTCCCCGCTCCCTTCCCGCTGCACCCCGCTGTGGCCCTGCCTCGCCCCCTCGGATCCCCTGGGGCCCGCAGAAAGGGAATTTTCCGCGAGGAATTGGAGCGCTGAGGAGGGTCCGAGTTCCCCTTCCACCCGCGGCCCGGGGTCTTGCGGCCTCTTATGTGTTTTCCAGTCCCATTTGGTACCTTGTCTCCCTTGACGCCTGGCAAGCCTTGTGGCCCTGGAATTCCCGGGGGGCCCTGCTCCCCCTTGGGACCCTGAGGACCAAAGAAACCAGAGTAAATCAAGTAAAGAGCCCGGACGTGCGCCACCTCCCGTCTCAGCTGGCCTACACTCACCTGGCGGCCTAGCGGGCCCGGCTGCCCCACTGGCCCCCTTTCACCCTGGTCTCCCTGAAATGGAAAGAGAGGGCCACACTCAGACCCTCCAGCAGAGGTCACCTCCCCCGGCCAGACCCCAGCCCCATGGGGGTCAGGACGCCCTCCATTCCTGCTGTCACCAGCACCGAGGCCTTTCTTCCCCTGGAGACCAGCAAGCTGAGGGGCTGGCGGGGGCAGCAGGGGCTGTGGCGGCAGGGGCCCTGGCCTGTGAGGGGGGTTTAGCAGTGCCCAGTGCTGCAAAGGCTCCCCGAGGGGCCGCTGGTCTAGCACTTACCTTCTCCCCCATGATGCCCCGTGGACCGATTTCTCCTCTAGGCCCCGGTTCTCCCTGGGGGTCAGTGAAACTGGAGGTGAGTAGTAGCCTTGGTGGATCCCTCCCTACCCACCCTTAGGTCGCAGAGATTGGCTTTATCTGGGGAGTCTCCCTCCCCCTTGTTTCTCCTGGGCCCTGTGCTTTTCCTTCGAAGGACCCAGACAGTTGTAATTAGTCCTCATGTGAGCCTTTATTTAATGTTTGTCTCTTCGCTAAACTGTAAGTTCCATATGACCAGGAAACTAGCTCAGCATCTAGCACATGGCAGGTACTGGGCGAGGGTTTATGAAATGAATAAATGAATGAATTGCTGCCAGCTGGGTTCTCAGCCCAGGTCAGCTTAACCGTCTGCAGAGGTCAGATCCCAGGACAGAACCAGGCCCACCCTGGCTGCATTGGACGTAGGAAAAGAGCGTCCAGAGGAGGGAGCTTGCCTGCGTCCGCGGGTCCCAGGGCAGGGCTCCGTGCTAGCGTTTCACCCAGTCCCCATGAGCCGAGTGCAGGGAGGCCTGGGAGGGCCCAAGCAAAGGGAAGGAAGGGGTACTTACCTCCTTCCCGGGAGGACCAGAGAATCCAGGGAGGCCCTGGTGGCCTGGCTCACCCTGCAGGAAAACCCAGTGCTAAGGTCAGTCTGGGGGGCCCATTCAGGTCTTGGGGAGCCCAGTAAACCCTAACCCAGTTCTGGAACTAAGTGAGTTGGGGAGAAGACAGAAGGAGAGGGTGTTCTTTGCCAGATTGTCTCAGCTCCAATGTATGAATTTTCCTGTGTTTGTTTCATACCATCCTGTTTCCACTGAGCCAGGATGAGACAGGGAGGGAGACCACCGGGAGTAGCACCAGAAGGGGAGGTGATTAGCTGAGTGACTTGTGTCCAGGCCAAGACACTGATCCTGGGGTCAGGGCTGGTCCTTGTAGTTAACATGCCCCTGGGCACCGCCCCCAAGATCCCTTTCTAGGATGAAGCCAACTCATCTTAGACACCTCACCTTGTCCCCAGGGCCTCCTTTTGTCCCAGGCTGGCCTGGCACACCCTATAGAAAGAAGTCGACATCAGTTACTTCCCTGGCACGGGGGAGCCCCAGGCACCTGCTGCTTTGCTTCCCATCCCCAATCCATTCTCGCCCTCTGTGGTAGCTGATCAGAAGGCCTGGCAGTAGCATCACGACTGACTATGCCCAGTTCCTGAGCCCTGGTGGGACAGAAAAGATGTACAGACGGACTTGGGGTCCACGGGCAGAAGAGGAGCACACACAGGACCAGTCTGCACAGGCTTTGACCAAGGTATCCCATGCAGGGAGGGAGGTAGGGAGCCCAGTCCATTGGAATGGACTCTTCCAGAACGTGTGGAAGAGAGGTGGGCGAGAAGGCACAGAGAGGTGGGGATGTGCATTCCAAGCAGAGGGACCAGCAGAGGTCTGCAGGGGCAGAAATGCCCAGGTAGAGCTAAGGAGGAAGGATGAGGGGGCAGTGGCTGGAGAGGCAGGAGGGGTAGGGTGGCCAGAGGATGCCAGTTCTTGACTGACAAGATGAGCTGGGAGGACAAGGACTGCAGCTGTCCCGTTCATAACTGTTTCCCTGCCAGTTGGCTGGGTTCTCAGTAGCTTTCGAATGACTTGGCAAAATTACTTTCCCAGAGGCAATGGCAGGTGCTTTAGCAGGGAAACAGCCAGATTCCACTTAGTCAACATGGGCGGATGGGATGGTCGTTCAAATGATGACGACTACGCCAGGCCAGAGGCCACAGAGGTGGTGATGAGGGCCGGACTGGGTGGGAACAAGGACTATAGCAAGACCAGGTGTGCTTTTTTTACTGCAGCCACTCTCTGCACCACGGGGAAGTGGCAGCGGGGTGTCTGGTTTCTTTGAGGCAGAGGAGCAGAAGCAACTTCTGGGGAGCAGCCCTGTGGCTCCACCCGATACTCACCGCTAGGCCCTGGTGGCCTGGGTTTCCTGGTCGCCCAGCCTGTCCCGCGTTGCCCTGGGAGAGAGAGAACCAGAGGCACAATTTAGAGCTCCAGCCAGAGGGTCATGGCTCCTGCCAGAGTGCAGGCAGAGAAACTGAGGCAAGGGGTCAAGAAGGGATGTTTCAGTGGCACGCCTGACTCCTAGACCTCCCAGCTCAGTGTGATGGGACTCAGGGCAGAGCTGGGAGGGCCCCGACCCTTGCCCCAATCCTACAGCAGTCCCACGCCTACCTTTATGCCAGGTATGCCTGGGGTTCCGTCCTTGCCGTCAATGCCTGGGGGACCCTGCTCAGGAGGAAATGAGGGACTAAGGGGAGGTGCCTGGGAGCCACCCATCCTGTCCTTGTCATAGCTGTGGGGTGCAAATTGGGGGTACATCTGCTCATCTCTAGAAGCTCCACCAACCAGCTGGGGGAGAGGAGCAGAAGCGGAAAGAGGGCTTTGGGGATGGACCCCAGCCTTTTTCCTGTGTGGATGAGAGTGTCCCAGATTGCCACACGCTGCCATGACCTCCCATATCACCAGAGGTTACAGAGCCAGCTGCCACAGACTGCGGCCTAGAATCCCAGGCTCCTCATTCTCTGGGGGCTTGGAAAGCTGACTAGGCCCTGCCCTCTGTCCAGTGGGCCTGCGTCACTTACCGTCACTCCCTTCGGGCCTGTTACTCCCTGGGGTCCTCGAACACCTTGGCTGCCCTGCAAAGTAGGTAGAAGAGGTCACCTCCGGGACACAGCAGCAGGATGCCAGGCTGGCTGTTCAGAGAGGGGAGCGGCTGAGAGCCGCGACCCCTGGGTCCGGGCGTCCCTCTGGCACAGGCCACGCTGTGCATGGGCTGTAGGTGAGGGGCCGAGGGCCGTGCGTGCCTTGGGCCCTGGCAGAAGGAGCAGAGGTCAGCGCCCAGCACACGGGACTGGGCTGGCAGGATTTCCGAGGGGCACTCGGAGCACCCGACCAAGGCACCTGACCAAGGCTCTGGGCTCGGTGGACAGGGAGACGCACAGCAGCCAAAGGCAGCGGGTGAGCTTTGTGTGGGTCTTGTCTTGAGAAGACATTTTCGAGATAACGGGGGAAACTGAACATGGCTGGTTATTCGATGACGTTAAGGAGTAATTGACAATATTGTGTCGTATGATGATACTGTGATTAGGTGAGAAAATGTTCTTAATTTTAAGAGTCAGAGGGAAGTGTTTAGAGGGAAATGACATGATGTTAAGTGTTTGCTCGCAAATATCAGTGCCAAGTGAAGGAAGGCCGGGGAAAGAGGAAGGCTAACGTGAATATAGCAAAACGTCCCTCTTGGGAGACAGCTCTGTGGGGCTGCATCGTTCTCCCTACTTTTGTGTATGTCTTAAAACTTGCAGACTAAAAACCTAAAATGATGACTTTCTGTTCAATTTTCCTGTAAACTCAAAATGAATCAAGAGAAACAAAGTCTGTTAATTAAAGAGAGAGAGCGAGACTTGGAGAGCTGGGTCTAGCCCAAATCCCATTAGCCCCATGGCGGATTTGCTGGAATCTCCTGGCCTGGCCCTGGTGGCAGTGGAGCTGGATCCTGTGGCCTCTGAACTGGCTCAGCAGCAGGCTGAACTTCGAGGAATGGGTCTGGCTGGTGTTCTGGGCTCTGGGTGCAACGCCATCCCACCCTTGCCAGCCACCCACCAGCACATAGAGTAACACACACACACACACACCCCATAACACACAGTCATGCACCACATTAGCCTGGGGTGGAGCTGAATCCTGCCCCGTGCTCCCCAGAGGGCCTGACTGGAAAAGGGGTGCCTGAGGACTCACCAAGTCACCCTTCTCCCCAGCTCGGCCTGGTGGTCCCCGAGGACCTTCTTCACCCTAACAAGGACAAACAGGGATCCAGGTTACACAGGCTCAGAGGAAGTCACACCCCCTTTGTAGCCCCTGGACCTCCAGCTGGGAAGGAGGTTGTGGGGGAAGTGAGCAGGAGCAGCCTTACTGGAGACCCGGCAGCGCCAACGGAGCCAACCATGCCTTTGTATCCACGAGGACCCTGGGGAGAAGAAAGGTTTGCAGGTCAGTCCTGGCTGGACCCAAGGCCAGAGGGCTGGTCATGCAGGACACCCCCAGGCTCACTCACCGTTTCTCCTTTGGGCCCCTCCATGCCTGGGTAGCCCCTGATGCCCTGGGGACCCTGTCCAGACAGGAAAATAACAACGTCATCTGCAAGGCCCACTTCATCATCCCAGCCTTCACAACACTCCTCTGAGGCAGGCCACAGAGTCCTTGTCTCACTGAGGCATCACCAAAGCCCTGAGATGAGGGGGGACTCACCAGAGTCACTCAAAGTCACAGGGGCAGAACTGGGCCTCAGCTGAGTCAGCTGACAGCATTGGTTCTTGTCCCTCAACTTCTGCCAAGGCTCCTAAGTCTCCCTCTCCCCACCCAGAGACATGCCAGCTGGGCATGGATGTCTCCAACAAGCTAGAGGCCTTGGCCGGGGAATGACTCTCTCAGTCTCCCAGGCTGAGTGTGCTTACCGGTGGTCCAGGGATGCCTTGTTCTCCAGAGGCACCCACATCTCCCTTGGGGCCCTAAGGGCAGGAAAGAGCAGTCAGACAGCAGGTAGATGGAGAGACAAATATACAGACAACCAAAGTTACCATCACCTTCCCAGCCAAAGCAGACAGAGAGGACCCTGAGAGACCACCCAGTCCCAGGTGACAGGTGGACAGGGAGGCTCTGCAAGCCTGGCTGACCCAGAACAGGCCCCCTGCCTCCCAGCTCAAACTCAGAGACCCCCAGGGGAAGGGGGAGGGGTGACAGAGGGGAGCCCTAAGGGGCCCTCTCCACGTACCACTACCTTGATTCTCAGCCCTCACACTCACCGGCTTCCCCTGGCGGCCAGAATCCCCCAGGACCCCTCGTTTGCCAGGATGGCCCTGCAGGGAAGGAAAGGGCTGGGTGTGAGGTCCTCACTGCCACCTGCTTCCCGCTGCCAAGGCTGGGCCTGGAGTGCTCACCTTCACACCCTGCAGTCCCGGGGGGCCTTTCACACCTGCTGGACAGTTGGTTGGACACTAGAAAAAAAGATCCCACCAGGTTCTGTGGTTACTGGCCTGTCGCAGGCCAGCTGGGCGGTGCTTCCCCATCTGACCAACTCCTGAACCCGCCTCCCACCCCACCCCATCCACCTCCCGTTGGCCTCTCTGTTCCAGCCCCTCCACACCTCCCACTGACCCCAGGTTCATGACCAAACCTATCTTCGTGACCACTTTTTCAGCTGCCTGCCCCTTCCCTGTTTTAGCCCCACCCCAGGGTTCCCTCTCACCAGGAAATCCGCGCTGCCTTCCAAGCCCTGAATGGTTCCCGGTCGGCCCTGAGAGGATATGTATGAAGATGCAGCTTGACCTTAATCTTTTGCTCCCCAGGCTGGTACCAAAGACCCTTTTCCAGCTGCACACAGCCATGTGGTAGGTCACTTACCGGTTTTCCGGGGGGCCCTGGAGGCCCCTCTGGTCCCTCTGGTCCAGGATCTCCCTGGGAGGAAGAGAGGCCTAAATTGTACCCTTGTCCAGTCCTGCGTGGGTCATCCCTACCCCCTCCTCCATTTCCTGATACTGTCCTGTCCCCCTGCCTGCCAGGGATCTTGGGGACATGGAGATCTAATAGGTAGAGCATGGCCCCAGCCCTTGGTCTCCCTGCATGACCAGCCACAGAGTGGACCCAGCATGAGGGATTTCTGCCCCAAATCTGGAGAAATTCACTGGTGGCCAGAAGCAGGTCCAGGAACTGCAGGGGACACCCCAGCTTGCCAACTCAGAGGCAGAGAGAGTGGAGGGATGACAGGACTCACCTTGGGGCCTGTGATTCCAATCTCACCAGGGAGGCCAACTGGTCCAGGGGGTCCCTAGGAACAGAGACTTCACTGGTCAGCATGCCTTAGAGGGTCAGCCCACCCCAGGCACAAAGGTAGGGACAGGCACCCAGAGTCCCTTCCCCACTTTTTCTTCACAGCCAGCCCTAGAAAGATTGACAGATTCGGGCTTTAAGGACCGGAGAATCCCAGAATGAGTGGACAGGCCCGGAGTGGCCTGACCCGGAATTCTCCGGCAAGTCTGCGGGTTCCTGGCATTGTCACCACATGCCGGCCCCTCCCTGAGATAGCCAGTCCCCTGAAACCTCCTTTTCTTCTCTTTCCCCGGAGGCTCTGAGGGCCCTGCCCCTCATTGAGGACTTACAGGAGGTCCAGCGAAGCCAGGGCCCTGGAACAGAAAGAAAGATGGGGTTCATGGCTCCTTCCACAAGTCCCCCCAACCCACAAAGAGCTCAAAGCCCTTGCAGGTTATACTCACCGGCAGACCAGGGGGACCTGGGAGCCCAGGCTGGCCCTGCAAAATCAGTGGGACAGGCTCAGAGGCTGGGGTCTCCTGGGTCCCTGCTCCTCTCTACTGCAGCCCCTCCCAAACCTTGGTCCTAGATTGCCCTTGCTGGTCCCCAGCAGGCCACTTACCTTGACTCCAGGGGTTCCCATGGGACCAGGCTCGCCCTTGGCTCCAGTCAGACCCTGGAGGAAAGATAAAAGTTAAACCGGTGAAGGTCATCCTGCTCCCTGACCCCCGGCAGGGCAGGTCCAGAAATCTCTTCTGGGTGGGCCCAGGCTGCCTTTTCCCACATTCTAAGAAGGCCAGGACCACAGAACCTAGCTTTCCCTCCCCTCAGCTCCTCCAATAATCCTGGGCTCAGCCAGGCAGAATGATTATTCTCTTTCAAGAGATGAGAAACTAAGGCCCAACTATTTGTCAGCTCAGGGTTCACGCCTGCAAGTGCAGAGGTGTAGGAGACCAAGATGTATGCTAGCAGTGACCATTTTTTTAAAAAAGATTTATTTATTTTATTTTTTTATTTATACAAGAGCTGGGGTACAGGCCAGAGGCACGGGAGGGTGAGAGGATTCACCAGAGACAGAGTGGGGAGCAGAACAGGCAGATGACCGAAATACACTGCTGAGGGGAGCAGCAGGCGAGACAGGAGAGGTCTGCCGCGCCATGTGGGACTCTCCCTGGCCGGCCGGAAATTGAACCGGCGCTGCAGAGGCTGTGGACAAGCCACTGCACCACAGGGGAGGCCCTGACCATTTTCTTTATATCTGCTTTCAGCAACTTTATCTGAGTCTTAATGGTCTTATCTGAAAAACAGATTAATAACCAGTTACCTCTCTGGATGGATGTGGGCACTGATGTGACAGGCTGTGTGCTTGCTAATCTTTGCAGGGTGTGAACAAGTTTGGAAGGACCCTGGTGTCTAGGCACAGCCCTCATAGCATTGCATGAGCCAGCAGGGCAAAGGCAACTCTTGGGGGCTTCTTCTCCCCATCTTTCAGGGACTGACTCAAGTATATCCACAGTCGGAGGCTTGTCCCTTAGCCCTGGCTGTGTCCAGGAGCCTGTGACCTTGGGGCCTTTAGGAACTCTGTGCAATCAGCCAAATGATGTTCTCTTGAGATGAGCCCCGGGTGGAGTGGAGAATGGCAGAGGGAGGGAAGGCAGGGTCCACAAGGAAACTCCTTCCAGAGTATTCCATCAACACTTGAGACTAGAAATGTGAGACTAAATCCTGGCTGCTATAGACAAACAGAACCCCTTTCTGGATCTCTATCTGCCCTTGATCCAAAGCTCCCAAGGTGGGTGTGAGGGTCCAGTGAGGTCTCAAGTCGTATGAAGGTGAGGGACTCACAACTTCCATTCCCTGAATGGAAGTGGGTAGGGAAGATGCCAGGACCAGCTCTGGAAGTCAGGCTGTAGCCGCTTTCCCCACGCTCAGATACTCACATCAATCCCTGGCTTCCCGTCCGGCCCATCTGGCCCTGCTTTGCCAGGCTCTCCCTTAGGTCCCTTGAAAACAGAGGTGGGGCGAATATTAGACAGAGAAGGGCAAGAACTAGCCGGGTCAAAGATCGAAGAGGAAAAAGTACTCACTGGAAAGCCAGCCTTCCCAGGGGGGCCCTTGTCGCCCTGCAAGACACAAGTTGGTGAGAACACGGTACACAAGGGCCCTGAGTGGCTGGTGGGTCCCATGTGCTCCTCTCCTCATGCTCTTCTCTTCTACCCCGGGTCCCCCCAAACTTGCCCTTTATTTTATTTTATTTTATTTATTTATTTATTTTTTAAACTTCTTTTTTTTTTTTTTTTAAGATTTATTTATTTATACAAGCATTGGGTACGGTCAGAGGTCAGCGGCACGGGAAGGTGAGAGAATTCACCAGAGTGGAGAGTAGAACAGGCAGAGTGACGAAGTACACTGCTGAGGGGAGCAGCGGGCAGCAGGAGAGGTCTGCGTGCCATGTGGGACCCTCCTCCGGTGGCCGGGGATCGAACCGGCGCTGCAGAGGCTGCGGGCAGCTTCGCAGCCCAGCGCTCAACCGCTGGGCCACCGGGGAGGCCCTATTTTATTTTATTTTTAACAGATCTCTTTCCCTCCAAAAACTCCTAAGTAGATTGAGACTACCCCAGGGTGACAGCAACATTCAAGGGGATTTTAGACATGCAGATGTTGGCAAGATGCTAGTTATGAGAACTACAAATGGGATTGTGGATTCCAAATTAGCTCAGAGAGCTGGATTTGGCCAAGTGTGTAGGAAGAAACTGGGGGCTTTTAGGAAAACACAAAGGGGAAGCAAACCAGGCAGGCAGAGGCTCTCTTCTGGACTGGGTCAGGAAGCAAGACATTGGAGGGGGGGCAAGGAACGCAGGCGCCTGTGGAAGGGCCAGCTACCATCTGTCCTCCAGCGGAGAAGAACCTCTCTCCGCCTTGACAAAGGACCCTTGGTGGAGGACAGGCAGAGCCTGTGGAGCCACACAGAGCTCCACAGAGGCCTCCAGGCATTTCAGAGCCTGCAGCAGCGGGAGTCTGGCAGGGGCCCAGCCTCGAGTTTGGAGGATGGGGGCACCAGGTTGAATAGAAGTCTGTCCAGATGGGTAAACATGGAGCTGAGCTCCTGGGGGAGACTCCTGAATGCGGTATTTAACCCTCACCATGCTAGGGAAAGCAGGGAACCAACCCAGATGTTTCTAAATCAGGGAGAAACAGGCAAAGGGAAGAGACAGCCTGGCTCCAGCCCTCATGCCAAGGCTCTCAAGGTCCTCTAAAGAAGCATCCAGACGTGCCAGGGGGCAGGGCCAAGAGCTAAGCTATCTCCCACCCCAGAAACAGGGAGAAGAGACGCAGGGGATAAGGAATCGCTGTGAGCTGCGGCAGGCGGCCGAACAGCGGCTCCTTGTCACAGAGTGGCTGTGACAGGCTCTGCATCGCAGGGCTGGTTTGAGGTTTTGGCACCACAAACGGGCTCCTGTGGCGCTGGCAGGCGCCGCCTATGGATAACAGGGGGGCACTGCAGCTCCAGCACCACCCCCACCATCCCTCCCACCCCGAAAAGCTCACAAAGTTCCCTTTGTCCGCAGCTGCCCTCCCCCTTCCGCCCAGGTTAGAGACTCACGTCGATGCCATCGGATCCAGGCACTCCTGGCGGCCCCGGCGGCCCCGGGGGGCCCGGCTCTCCTGGGGGGCCTCTCTGCAAATACACGCAGGGGGAGGGGGCAGCCCTCAGTGCAGGGAGTGGGGCATCTCGGGGGTGCATTTCTTCTCTCACTCCCCAAGGGAGCTTTTCAGGGAGCCACGAACTCCAGTTTATTGAAAACCTACTGTGTGCCATCACATGTATTATCTTTAAAAATGTTCACCTACAGCTATACCCACGCGCAGAGAAAGAGAACGTCACCTTACTGACAGCTCAGAGCTTTCAGGGGGATATTCCTAGGAGGCCCAGTTGAGGGGAAAAGCTCAGAAAGATTAAGAACGACCCAGAGAAGAAGCGGTGGCGCCAGGACTCCGCACTAACGTCTGCCCGACAACTTCTGTTAGGGGGAAAGGCTGTCCTAAAGCTAATTCCATACCAGCTTTGTGGACTCCACCCCCACCCCAGGCCAAAGCCAAAGACACTGGGAACTCCAAATCCCATCACCACCAAAGGGAAGGTGGCTGGGACCTGAGGGTGGGGTGTCCTATAACACTTCCACCGTAGAAACCCCTGACAATGAACCCACTTTGATCAGACCTTGTTCTCACGCCTCCGGAGACAACCACTATTCTGAATTGCCAGATAATTAGTCCCTTAATCTTCATGTTTAGCTCTACTTCTTTGTATCTATCCTTAAGCCGTGCGCACCTTTTTCTTTTTTTAAAGAACACTTATATAAATGTATTTATTTAATATCACTGTACGTGATGCAGATGGAGATGCTGATGGCTCAGACACCCCGCAGACCGTAGTGGCAAGGTGCGCCGGGCAGTCGGTAGGTCCTCAGTGGGTGGTTGCTGATATTGTTGTTATTATTATTGTTGTTGTTGTTGTTATACGAACAAATGGGGAAGGTCGTGAGTGGGAATCTCTCCCTCTACTCCTGGTGTGGCTAAAACCCAAGAGAAGGGGCGCATAGAGAGGAGGACATGGCGGTGGTGGTATGTGGGGACTCCTGTTCTTTTCGTCCTCTGTCGGGGGTGGGGGGGGGTTCTCCTCTGGGGGCAAACCCCAACCCCAAGCAAGGGTCCGGTGCTCGTCAGGGCCTTGCACTTTCCCCAGACCAAGATGTACTAGTCTGGCGCCCCACTTTGCAAATCGGCGCCCGGGCCCTGGCCCGCGCGCGCCCGAGTCCCAGGCGGTCCCCAGTCCCCAGCGGCCCTGGGAAGGGGCCGCGGCCTCGCGAGCCGCCCCGAGAGGAGCCTCCGGGCGAGAACGGCGTCTGGCCGGAGCCTGCGCCCCCTGGGAGGCGGCGGGGGGCGGAGGCACCCCAGCCCCCTGAATGGGCACATTGTCTCCCGCGCCACCTGGGCTCGCGGGGCTGCCAGGACTGGACGGCAAATCCAGTCCACGCTGCCCGTCCCGGCAAGGCCGAGCTCTGCGGGACAAGGTCCCCCTGAGTCCCGGCTCATCCACATCCTCTCACCTGCCCGCGGGACTGAAGCGGTGGCCCGTCGGAAGCTGCCCCTCCACTAGGCAGTGTCCGAAGAGGGCGGCCACCGTCAGGTAGAACTCCTGGACACTCCTGGACCCCAGACCCCACACCCGGACCCCAGCGCGGGACTTACGATCTGCGCCAGGGCGAGCCCCAGCACCTGGAGGAGGACGAGCAGGCTGCGGGCGGCCGCGGAGGCCATGGCGGGCGGCGGGCGGGAGCTGGACTGCAGCGGGTCCGCGCGGCACCGACGGCAGGAGCCAGGGACGGGCGGGGCCGGCTACTCTCTCAATACGCGGCGGGGCGGGGCGGGGTCCCCGGGGTCTGTCACCTGAGAGGACCGAGGAAGGAGGCAGGCGCCCTCCGCTCCGCTCCGCCCCCCTCCGTCCAGTCGCCAGCGCCCACCCTCCATCCTCCACGCTCCCTCACAGCTTCCCGGAGGCCTGACTTGTAATCAGAGGACCTGGACCCTGCTCCCATTTTTCTGGAAGGAGTCAAAGGTCCGTCTGTGGGCCCCTTCTGTCTCACCTCTAGGGTGCTGCAGCTTATTTCTGACCCGCAGCCCCCAGCGCCTGGCCCAAGTTCTCAACCATGACGACCTAGTCAAGGCTGGGGCCCTTCTTTCCTCCAGAAGCAGGTCCAGCCCGCCTCACGTTCTGCAGACCTTGTAGCAGGCTCTGCCCAGCCTCACCCACCTCATTCCTTTTCACAAGCAAACAATCAGGCCTCTTTGACGTTAAAACAAACCAAAGTTCTTCCTGAATCAGCTGCCCTGTGGTTATCTCCCCCAGCCCCACAGTGAATGGGGTAGATCTCTTCACTCTGGTGTCACTGCTAACTCTTTAGTCACTGCTAACTCTTTAGTGCCTTTAAACTTCTTCACCTTCCTGTCATCTCTCTCTGCCCAATTAGGGATATCAGGCTCCTGGAAGTCACCACTGAGGCCCAAACCCTCTGTAGCTCACAGAACTGAAGGTTTTTGGTACCTGGACCTGCCCTTGGTGTTTCTGTTCTTGAAGTCTTCCTTGCCAGGCTTCCACCATCCAGCTCCCCTTCTTTTATTGCCTTTTCTCTGCAGCTCCTTTAAGCACTGGTGTCTCTAGGATGGGCTTCTCACTCCCATGATCGCCTCCATGTTCATGGAAGCAAGTGTCACCTATATAACCAGAGTTTCTCAGACCTATCAGTGCTACATAGCTTCTCTCCAGTCCCTTACCTATCCTTTTATTCATTTAAGTGCTTTGAAATCTGACTCTATCACTATTACAGACAGGCTCGTAAAACAATACAAAGTGTCAGTTTCCTCACCTGTAAGACGGATAATAATAGTCCCTATCTTTCAGGGACGGGCAAAACCAATTTGAACCAGTCAGAACTAGTGAAAATTGGTTGACCAGCTTGAACCATGCAGAAACATTCAGAATTGGTCAGAACCCATTTATCTGGTCAGAACTGGTTTTATCCAATCAGTACTGACCTTATCCAGTTAGAACCACTTTCATCCAGAACTAATGCTTTTTTTTTTAAGATTTATTTATTTATGTACACAAGAGCTGGGGTACAGGCCATAGGTGGGGGAGGTGAGAGGATTCACCAGAGACAGAGTGAGGAACAGAACAGGAAGACTGACTGTAATACACTGCTGAGGGGAGCAGTGGGCAAGACAGGAGAGGTCTGCTGCACCATGTGAGATGCTCCCTGGCTGGCCAGGGATCAAACTCGTGCTGCAGAGGCTGAGAACTGCCTCATAGTGCGGTGCTTAACCCCTTATGACACCAGGGAGGCCCTCCAGAACTAATTCTTTATAGGTAAGAGCCAGTCAGACCTGGTTTTAACCGGTCAAAACTGATTTTATCCAGTCAGAACCAGTTTTATCCAGTCAGAACTGGTTTTAACCAAATTTATCTGGTCAGAACTGGTAGCAACTGGTTTGATCAGTTTTTCTGGAAGAACTCATTCTACCTGGTCAGTCAGAACCAGTTTCATCCAGTGAGAACTGGTTTGAACCAGTTTTATCTACTCAGAACTGGTATTATCTGGTCAGAACCAGTCATAACTTGCTTTATCCAGAAACGGGTTTATCCAGGCAGAACTGGTTTTATCTGGTTAGATCCAGGCTAATCTGGTCAGTATCAGTTTGAACTTTTTTTTTCACTTGTCAGAATCAGAACCAGATTGATCTAGTTAGAACAGGTTTTATCTGTTCAGAACCAGGTTTATCTGTTCAGAGTCAGTTTGAAACCTTATTTCCACTGGTAGAACCCATCAGAACTGGTTTGATCAGTGTTTTTCCCCAGCGGAACCATTTTTTATCCAGTCATAACAGGTCAGAATTGGCTTTATTTGGTCAGAACTAGTTCTATCCAATTAGAACTGGTCAGAACCAGTTTGCACCAGTTTCATAAGTCAGAACTGGTTTTATCCAGTCAGATCCAGCTAGAACCAGTTTTATCAGGTCAGAACTGGTTTCAGGTTCAGTTGTTTTGAACAAGTTAAAATTGGTTTCAGCCATTTTGAGCCAGTCAGAACCAGTATTACCTGGTTTGAATTTGTCCGAACTGGTTTCACCATGTTGGAGCCATTTGGAGCCAGTGTCAGGTGGTTTCAGTTTCAGTTGTTTTGAACAAGTCAGACCCGATTTCAGCCATTTTGAGCCAGTTGCAACCAGTTTCAATGTCAGTTGTTTTCACAGTCAATGTCAGCTGTTTTAAGTTAGTTGGTTTTTGCCAGCTTCAACAGGTCAGAATCAGTTTCAGCCAGTTTGAACTGGTTGGAACTGGCTTCAGCTAGTTGGAACTGGTTTCAAAAGTTTGAACCAACCAGCAGGTTTGAGCTAGTCCGAGCCAGTGTCAGTTGGTTTCAGTTTCAGCTAGTTTGCTAGTTTCAGTTTCAGTTGGTTTGAACAGGCTGGAACTGGTTTCAGCCAATTTCAGCCAGTCAGAACCAGTGTCAGTTGGTTTAAATTTCACAGAACTGGTTTGAGCCTGTTTTATCCAGAACTGGTTTGATAACCTTTGAGAACTGGTTTGAGCCTATCAGAACTGGCTTGAGCTGGTCAGAACATATTTGACTGGTTTTATCCAACCAGCTCTCATTTGAACATTTTTGGAGAACTCTGATCTGTCCAGAACCAGTCAGACCAGCCAGAAAATGTTTGAACCAGTTTCGTCCATTCAGAACTAGTTTGGAACCAGCTTGAATTGACCTTATGCAGTCAGAATCAAACAATCAGGCCTCTTTGACATTAAAACAAACCAAAGTTCTTCCTGAATCAGCTGCCCTGTGGATATCTTCCCCAGACAGGAGAGGTCTACTGTGCCATGTGGGCTGCACCGCGGGTAGTGGGGATCAAACCGGCCCTGCAGAGGCTTGGGACAGCTTCACCACATCGTGCCCAACTGCCTGCGCCACCCATGGAGGCCCTGTTCCTAGTTTCTTGAACTTGGGGAGCTGATACCAAGAGAGAAGATACAGCTCTAAATAACTGGTTTTAACCAGTTGGAATAATTTTCAGTTAGTTTCTTCTTTGGTTAGAACTGATCAAAACTTCCTTGAACTTGAACTGGTTTTATCCAGTCAGAACTGGTTTCATCTAGTCAGAACCTGTTTGAACGAGTTTAATGAATGGTCGGGTCTGTTCTGGTCCTGTCCAGGTCGGGTCTGTTCTGGTCCTGTCCAGTTCAAGCCAGTCAGAACCGGTTTGATCTGGTCAGAGTTGGTTTAATTTGGTCTGGACTGGTTTGAACTGGTCAGAACTGGTTTGACTTGGTTTAATCTGGTCAGAACCGGTTTGAACCACAGGACAATTTGAAGCACTTTTCTCTAGATTTCTCTGGTCAGAACTGAACCTTTACAATTGCTGAGAATGGGGTTGAGCTTATCAGAACTGGTTTGAGCCAGTCAGGACATATTAGAACTGGTTTTATCCTATCAGATCTTTTTTGAAAGTGGGCCACTTTAAACTGACCAGAACCAGTCAGACCAGCCAGAAAAGGCTTGAAACAGTTTTAACCATTCAGAAATGGTCTGGAACTGGCTTGAACTGGTTTTTATGCAGTCAGAACGATTCACCAGTGTGAATCATTTCTGGTTAGATTCAATTTGGGTTAGAACTGACCAAAACTGGCTTGAACTGAAACCTTTTTTTCCAGTCAGAACAGATTTAACCAGCTTTATCTCCTTATTTAGAGTTGTATCTTCTCTCTCGGTATCAGCTCCCCAAGTTCAAGAAACTAGGAACAGGGCCTCCCTGGTGGCGCAGGCAGTTGGGCACAGCGCGGTGAAGCTGTCCGAAGCCTCTGCAGTGCCGGTTCGATCCCCACTACCCGCGGTGCAGCCCACAGGGCACAGCAGACCTCTCCTGTCTCACCTGCTGCTCCCCTCAGCAGGGTCAGAATCCCGGGTCAGAACCAGTTTCATCCAGTCAGAACCAGCGTTAGCCAGTCAGAACCGGTTTTATCCAGCTAGAGCCGGTCTGAACCAGTTTCCTCCAATCAGAACTGGTGTGAACCTTTTTAGCAGCTGCGAGTGGGTTTTAGCCTATTACAACTCGTTTGAGCTGGTCAGGGCATATTCAAACTGGTTTTATCCAATCAGATCTGGTTTGGACCACTCTGAACCAACCAGAAATGTTCAGACCAGTCAGAAAAGGTTTGAACTGGTTTTAACCATTCAGAACTGGTTTGGAACCATGCTGAACTGATTTTATGTGGTCAGAACTGGTTTTAACCAGTTTGAAATGCCACCTACCCAGTTTTGGTTAGAGCTGGTCAGAACCGGTTTAAACCTGTCAGACCACCCAGTAAATGTTTGAACCGTTTTTTTCCAGTTTGGAACTGGTCTGAACCAGTTTTATCCAGTCAGATCCATATAGGTATTATAACATAACTGACTTTCTGGTAAAGTCCCAACTTCTGAGCCACAGGAAACCAGGGTCTGGTGCTCTGGCGCCACCTAGTGGTATTATGCTGAAGCACACCATGCTGACAAGTTGAACAAAAAAGTCTTTTTCTTATTCCTAGTTTCTTTTATTATTATTATTATTATTATTATTATTATTATTATTATTATTTATACAAGAAGCGGGGTAAAGGCCAGATGAGCGGGAGGGTGAGAGGATTCACCAGAGACAGAGTGGGGAGCAGAACAGGCAGGATGCCTGAAATACACTGCTGAGGGGAGCAGCAGGTGAGACAGGAGAGG